GCAAGCTGGAAGGAGGTGGGGGTGATCTTGGCAGACCTTTGGGCAACGGCTGAGTTTCAAAGTGGCATCCAGCTTCCAGACGGCAGACCAGGCCTGCTTAGCGAGGGGCAAAGTGTGGGAATGAGGGAGACCACCAGGGGCTCCCCAAAGCTGATGTCCCAGGCCTTGGCCTCCTAGCGCCACTGAGTTCCCTCCTCCTCCCCACTGGCTGCCGGCCCCTTTCTTGAGAGAAACGAGTCAGTGTTTTTCCAGGGCAGCCAGGCACCCACAGCCAGCTGGGAAAGTCCCCGTGTGGCATGAGTCCGCAGCACGTGCTGTAGCCAGAGTGCCCCGGCGACACTCAATCCCCACGGCCCGCCCGCCCCACTCACTAATCTGGCCAAGACCCCCCTGGGTCTCCCACGGGCACAATGGGCAGAAATGCCCGAGGCTGGCATGGAGGAAGATCATCTGGGCGGGTTGGGCTGGGAGCGGGCTGGAATCCGGGGAATTCAGCCCAAAGTAATTGTAGATGCTCAGAAAACCGACCCGGGGAAATGAGATGGATGGGAACCAGCCTCCAGGCCTCGGGCAGGAGCCTGCTCTGGATCCCGGACGCTAAAAGCCAGCTCCCCAATCCCAAAGTCTTCCAGCAGACTCCAGGCTGCAAAGCTCACTGCCTGGGTTAAGAACCCTGCTGGGGGTAGGAGCTTGGACAAATGGGTTCCGAATTGCAGGGGGGGGATCCCCAGTGGACCGAGGGGGGATCCCAGGGGCCGACGCAGATGTTGCAGCCCTGGTCTCCCGTCTCCAGGAGCCCCCAAAGCCCCCCTGCCAGCACCCAGGTCTGGCCATGTCACTCCCCTGCTCAGGGACCATCCACAGCTCCCTAGGCTCCTTGGTGTAGAATCAGAGGCCCCCCGGGATCCGACCTCCGACCGCCCTGCCATGCCTGCCTGTGCCGGTCTCTCTGCCTTTATCTTTCTGGCAAACTCTGCTAGGCTTGTGCCCAAGTGGAAAAGCCCCCTGAGCTCACACCCCTTGGCCCCCAGGCACTGAGAAAGCAGGTGGTGGGCATTGTCTCTCGAGTAACAACCCCCCACCCGCCCCCCACGGGCTCACAGTGGCTGTTTCCACATCCAGCCTTCCCAGCAGACCACAAGCAGGGCCAGGTCAGAGCTAAATCTGGGGCTTGGTGGGCCGGGGGGAGGGGGCAGGGGGCTCCCCCTGTAGCTGTCCCTGAGTGTTTGCAGAATGGCAAAATGGATGAACAAATGAGTGAATACTCAAAGATTACATCCAAAAGAGCTCCTCCACCTTAGTAACAGAAAGGCAGTCCAGGTCCAAAATGCTCAAGGGACTCGAATAGCTATTTCTCCAAAGAGCCATAAACGGCCAACCAGCACACGAGGAGGTTCTGACTCCCGCTTGCTCGCGAGAGAAATGCAAACCGAAGCCAGTGACGTGCCACCACACGGCCGCTGAGACGGCTTCAGTCACAACAACAGAAAATGACAGGTGTTGGCAGGATGTGGGGAAACTGTGTGGCACCGACGGGAACGTAAAAGGCGGCGGCCACGTGGGCAGCCGTCAGGAAGAGCCTCAGAAATCCCCTCGGACCCAACAATTCCACTGCTTGGTATTTGGCCCCAAGACCTGAAGACAGGTGTAAATCCCCAGGGACAGAAGATAGACCAGTGGTCGCCCGGGGCTGCAGGGAAGGGGCCCGGGGAGCACCTGCCTGCTTGAGAGGCGTGTTGACAAAGTGTGGCAACCGGAGAGAGGTGACGGTCACACAGCATCGTGAATGTACTAGAACGCCTCCGAGTTACATTCTTTTTTTTTAAATTTATTCAAAAAAATTGTTTAGGGTTATTTATTTTGCGAGGGAGAGAGAGAAAGAGAGTGTGAGCAGGGGAGGGGCAGAGGGAGAAGGAGTGAGAGAGAACCCCAAGCAGGCTCCGCACTGCCAGCGCAGAGCCCGACTCGGGGCTCGAAGCCGTGAACAGTGACATCCGGACCCGAGCCGAGATTAGGAGTCGGATGCTCGGCTGACTGAGCCACCCAGGCTGCCCCTATGTTATGTGGACTTCGGACACAAGTTTTAAAAACCCTACGTATATGCAGGACTTCTGCACCCTTGGACAGGTGGGATGGGTAGAAGGGGACAAGAGGGGCCTTGCCTGGCTGATCCCCGCCTGTACGCTTCCCAGGACGTGTGGGGCTGACGGAGTAGGGGACACGAGAGCCCCCGGCCACCCCCCAGCAGCCAGCGCATGGGTCAAAGGCGAAGCAAAGGCATCAGGGAATCTATTTTGTGCCCGGAGCATAAATAATCAGATGCGGTTGCTAATTCAGAAATCGTTTCTCCACTAACAGTAGTAAATACACTTACTCCGAGCGCCCATCTTGGGCAACACGGGCCTCTGCCGGGTCTCAGTGCCCTCCCTGCATCCCCGTGTCACAGATGTGCAGACCGCAGCTCAGAGAGGCTGGGGGCCGTGCCTGAGGCTGCACAGCCAGGCTCAGAGCCCGGTCTCTGCTTCCAGAACTCAGGCGAAGGCAGCGCTGGGGTCCAGAGCCCCGCACACAGCAGGTGCACAACAAGTGCCGGTGGACGGCCTCGAGCGGAAAGCTGTGCCCACTCCTTAGTCCCCAAACACAGCTTCACATCCTTCCCTTGCTTGAAATCCTCCAAGGTCACTCATCAACCATTCCACATTTACGGACGGCTTCCGTTGCTGGTGCTGGCCGTCTCAGCCGCGCTGTCCCTTCCCCACCAACTACGGCCCACACGTTCACCGCGAGTCTGAGCACTGCCCTCCCTGAGAAGGCCTGGCCCTGTCACACTCCGACCCTCAGCCATGCTCCTGCCACCTGGAGGGACAGGGCCTGCAGCCCTGGGCCACCGGCCCTCATCAGGAAACCGCCAGAGCGGAAAGAGGCAAAATTACGTGATAACTGAAAACTGGTGACCTGGAGGAGAGGGGAAGAGGGGGGATGGGAAGGGGGGAGGAGGGAGGGAAGGGGGAAGGGAAGAGGGAGGAGGGTGAGCCCAGGCCGCATCCTGGAATAATCTGGAATGATCGGCAGTTTGGGAGCGAGGGCAGGCTGTGAGCACCCTGGTCCCGCCCACAGGATGGGCCTGCCTGTCACCC